AATTATCCTATGTTAGTGAAATAAAATAATAAGACGAACTTATAAATGATTGGAGAAAAAAATAAAGGTGCCATCACCTTTGTTATGTGTGTAGGAAGATGAATGATCTTATATAGAACGTGATAAATATAATCTTTATAATTTATAATTAAATGATAAATATTGTAAGCGATCTATGCATAATTATGTATAAATAATATTATTTTATGAGAATCATATCTAAACAAAGATTTTGGTTCATAAATGATTGAATTAAAAGTTTAATTCCTTTTATTTGCAATTTAATGTCAAGAGATTTTGTTTTTCAAAATAATTCTCACACATATAAATGTTTTTAAAATTATTCAGTGTAATTTTTGGTTATAATATTATTAATTTAATATTTAATAAATATTTTAAGATAAAAAAACAAATGAACATATATTAAATAATTAAACAAAATAATACATACTAAAAAGAATTGAGTATTTACAAAAACATTTACAGAACAATTTACAAAAAAAAAAAAACACACACACACACACAAAAATCACTTATTGCCCCTAAAAATAAAACACTTAAGAGCTCGTTTGTTTGCATTTTTTAAAAAAGTAATTTTTATCTCTTTTTTATTTTAGAAGTTCTTTTAATAAAAGTTAAAGCTATTTATATTTTTATAAAAATATTTAGATTTTAAAAAAAATATTTGACTTTTGATTTCTACTTTTTTTAGAAGTTAAAACTTTTAGTTTCAGAAAAAAGTAAATTTTTGACTTTTTTTGTGACTTCTGTTTTTTTTTTAAAGCAGATATCCAAACGAACTAAAAATGTAAAGTGTTTTTTTTTTAAAAAAGAGCAACTTCTGAAGAAAAAAAAACTCATCGAAAGATACTCTTATTTCGTTAATCAATTGACAATCTTACAATGACAGTGACTATTTTAAAAATAATGGTATTGTAAAAATTAATATTTTTAAGTGAATCTTTTCATTAATAAAAGAAAAAATATTGAGTTTACCAACAATATATATATATATAAGATTTTACAATAGTAATGCTGTATGAAAAATGATTGTGTCATGTTACTGAGATTCGTTTTTCGTGTCATAATTTTATTTTTTTTGCTTAAAAAAATGCAGGCTCCACAAAATATTATGTGTATAGAAAATTCTACTATATCATATTAAAGGACAAATGAAAATCCCGTATATATATAAGGGATTTGCATTCATCATTTAACATGACACAAAAAAGTTTTCTACATACACAACATTTTGTGGGGTCCACACTTTTTGAAGCAAAAAAATAAATTACGTCACGCAAAACGAATTCACATAACATTACACAATCACTTTTTCTACAACATAATTCTTATAAAACCTATATATAATGAGTTTTACAATAGTTATTTTGTAGGAAAAATGATTGTCTAATGTTATAGAGATTCGTTATGCCAGCCGTAATTTTTTTTTCTTTATTCTAAAAATGTGAGATTCACAAAATGTTGTGAGTGTAAGAATTTTTCTTGTGTCATGCAAAATGATAAATACAAACCCAATATATAATATTGCTGGATCCTAAAAGATTATAGGCCAGTGGAAATAGGTAGGAACGCATAGACCAATGGTTAAGGGTAGTAGCTAGTATGTAGTAATAAGTCCCTATGCATAGAGCATAGACAATTAGACACTGATTCTGGCTACTAGCCTACTACTGCTAGATCACGAGGATCACATAAAAAGGAGCATGGCTAGCTGATGCTGATGCCGACACTTGACAGAACGAAGGTCGGTGTTCGTACCAAAAGAATAAGACGCACACACGCATCACCCTTTTAACCCTCTGATTAAATCTGCAAAAATATCTTTGCCCCCATTCTCTTACGTACTTTCTGCTCCAACTTTTATATTTTATAATTTTTTTTATTTTTGTAATTATAAACAAAAGGAAAAGTTGTTGTGGGTCCATAGATTGTGAAACCAGTTTTTGGCTGATTACCAATACAAAATGGTCAAATATGGTCCTCCACTCGTGTTCCACACTCCACACCTTTCTAACTTTGTAACTAATACGTGCGAGATTGGCATAAGCAAAAGAATGCTCAATTCCACACAATTATTAGTTACTAACTCAATTCCTCATAGGTAAAAAGGGTTTGATTATTCACGGGTGTTGATCTTTGTCAACATTCTCAATCATTAATTTCCCTTTGCTTGCTTTCCCTTATCTCGAATCTAAATAAAACTAAAATGACAAATTTTGGGTGCGTTTACTGCATTCTACTTCTAGCATCGAACTGTAACAACCAAACAATAGAACTTTACTACGAGATTTGCAATGTTTTTTTCCGAAACAAAAGTTTATTTTATGCATTATAGTCAAACCCAAGATTTCCTACTTATACGGTGGTTAGATAAAGCAACGTGATGTATTAACCATTTCTTTGGAGTCAATTACCCTTACTTTTAAGCTTTACCCTGAACTACACCAATCACTATTACTTTTAATCCAAGTAAGAGGTTTCAATCACGCGTACTTTAAAGTTAAATTACACTTATGTTAAAACTGACATAATTTCATTTTTCATTTTTGACATTTGTGAAATATATTATTAAACAGCTCAATAGACAATTTTTTTTAAAAAAATTACTCTTGCCTTTTTTCCTAATAAATATAATTAAAGTATTTGGATGACCAATTCTAGAAAGGCCTCTTCTTCAACAGAATGTTTTTTTTTTGTTTTTTCAACTAATTTATCGATTAAATGATTAATTTGGTTCGGGCACTTACCTATATAGGAGAATCTCTTGTTAAGTATTAAGCGTTAGTAATTAATCTCTTTTTACAGGCTTCAGATGACCAATTTGAAATTATTATCACATTATTATATTGGGAATAAAATATTTAATGTTACTTTAAATTTTTTGTCTAATATTCAACAAAACGACGTTATTTTAGGGTTAAAAAAATAAAAAAATAAAGACTATTATAACTCTGAAATAAATTAAAATTACAAACACACCATATTTTTTATCCCAAAATAATATTATTGTGGTGAATATTACACAAATTTTTTTAAAGTAATATTAAAAAAAACGAACCCTATTATATATTAAGCATTAGTAGGTAACAAGGAGTATGCGGAGTATCAAATCTCTTATAAAATAAGGTTTCTATCAGTTTTGCCGTGTATATTATTATTTTCATTCCATCTGCTATGGTCAGTAGTTCTATAGTTGGGAAACTTTGATTCTTTGAACACTTGACCAGTTTATTTTTTATTTTTTCATAAAAATGATATATACTTATATCATATGGTACAAAATAAGAGAAATCAACTATATGTTATTAGACCCACACATGTGATACACATGTCACAATTAAGTAGACCGCATGCATAGTTGTACGACTTAGACCAAAACTAGTGAGACCAAGAATCCCATGACCTGGCCCATGGGCCGGTCTAGTTTTCATTCATGATAGATTTTGGCATCACCCCGATCAATATTGCGTGACCTGTTAACCTGCTCGATTCGGTCTGATCTTTTTTAAAAAATAAAAATTTAAAATGTTTCCTTGTAAGATTTGAATAAAATGTACTATGTCAATAAACCATGTGTTCTTCTTGAGATATATTCTCAATTTTTTAATCCATATTATTATCCAACTTATCAAGTTTTGAACATGATGTTGGACTATTATTATTGCAAAATTTGATTCATAAAACAGTTTCTTATATAAAAATATTTTTTAATATATTTTTTTCAATTTTTTTTCTTCTTTCTCTAATTTTTCCGATTCAAACGCTTGGCCCTCGATTAGACCACTGTCCGGTGACTCGGTCAAAAGGCCAAGTCATTTATACAACTTAGGCATATGTTCATTTTACATAGTCTATCATATAGGGGCATATGATCTTGACTTTTAAGTGTAAGCACTCCTTTCTTTGTCAATTGGTTGTGGTATGCTGCCAGCATTAATACCAAAAAATTATCCTTTTTTTAATCACATCACACTTGGTGTGACTAACAAAAATTGCATCATATTTGGAAGAATGTTGTATCATTTTAAGTCCATTTAAAACAAGGAACAAACATTGTCTGATTTTAAGTTTAAATTCCAGCTTTTCAACCTCCGAAGATAACTCAGTTGGCAACTAAGTATTCAAAGGTTTGCTTTGTTCAGAAATTCAAACCTTAACTAAAGTAAATTCTTAAAATTCTTTGAGGGCAAGAGGAAAACCACCTCTCCCTCGAAGGGAGATTACTCTCACATTTCTTCGGGTGACAGTGGTATAATACACCATTTGTTCCAATGAGGAAATAGCCTTAGCGGCTGTACTCCGAAAATAAGATAATAGAGATACCTTCAAGTTATTAAAAAAAAAAAAGTTCCAGCTTTTCACTTTTCTATTGCGATACAAAAGGTACATAAGACGGATGACTTTGACCACAGTTGTCCAGAAGCTCTCACATGTGCAGGTGAAATCCATAAAATGATTAGCATGTAGCTAGGATAAGGCGTGTTTCACGGTGCATGTTCTTGCACCCGACAAGCCCAATTGGATAACCTTTTTCACAACTACTCGTTTCACATCCATGAATGTTCATTGACAGATAAGGACTCGAGACAGAGAACAATATATAAAGCGAATAGAGTCGGGGAAGAGTGCGACCCCACAACCCAAGGAACGTCGGAATCAAGCATTCTTCAGTTATGAAGACAGATTCAAACGGAAGAGATGCCAATAAATAAACGGGCTTTACAGTATTGAATCTCACAAATTGGTGGGGCCAACGTCAACTCAAATTGTAATCCAAACATACCCACTGCTGGATTCAAACCACACTACAGACTCAGGAGCCATAATTGAGCATTCGATCAATGAAAAAAGGCATACATAATACCGAAACAGCGAAACAGCAGGGAGTTATCAATAAATGAAAGATACGCTCAGTGTTTTAGTGTCGTTACTAGGTTTATTCCAATAAACTGCTGGCTTGGATTACAAGGCATGCTCCAGATTATTCCGATCAGCAAGTGCATTGTTGAAACAGATAAACAAATAAACATGTGCTGGATTCAAATAGTATTTGAAGAACAAAGCCATCGAACTTCTTAAATGGTACATCAATTTCTCTTTCTGTTTTTTGGATATACCGAAGAACAAAAGATTAATTCTAAGCACCACAATACATCATAATGAATTTTTTATCCTATTCTATCCTGTTACTGGCAATCAGTATCATGATTGCAGAGCCTTGCATCCAGGAAATACAGATGTTTGATAAAATGAATTGAAGTACAGCACAGTAATGGGTCGTGGAACCAGGATCAAGGTCCACATGGAGCTCAGGTACACCACAGAAACTTAATAGACACATATAAAAGCATACTTCAAAGAAGTTCTCAAGATTTGACATTTTGAAGCTTTGCAGTAGATAGCTTTGTAAGCTTTCTGTCATGATTGAGCATTGCACTAACACTCTCAACCACCAGAATGATCTGCCCATGAGAGGTAAGAAGCATACATAAGTTTACAGCATGACAAAGTTATAAATCATTTAATTTTGATACATTTTGTCTACATCAAACTAATTGACCCAAATTTTTAAAATAAAAGCATTTTTCATTTGCAATGAAGTACTCCATTAGAGTGAGATGAATTGTGATGCTTAACTTCTCACTTGTATCAAACTAGGAACTTGTTAATAGAACAAAACAAGGATCATGAGGTCCTAGTGGTGTAGCTAAGTTGGTTATGAGCTGGGGTCATTAAGGAAAGGTTTTTTTTTGTGTTTGTGTGTGTGTGTGTGGGGGGGGGGGGGGGGGGTTGATTCCTCTCCAGTCCTTTCCAACCCTCTTCCTCCCTACCCCCTTTCACCTAAAGGCCCTACCAGGTTGCCCCTGGACAGCGTCCCATAGGGTGTGGGACCTAGGCATTCACAAAAAAAGGTTTATGAGCCTGCATCACTCTTTGCATATAAGAAAATAACAAATATACAAGAAAAGGCAAAAAATAACTTCAACTAGGTTCTCATTTGCTTAATATCATCTTAAAATGAATATAAATAAACTTTAAATGCTAATCTGATGATCCTGATAAAGTGAAGTATAGAGTTTGACAAGGGCCTCCAATTAAAAAGACTAGTGAAGAAAAAAGAGCAACAATAATTAACATGAGGAGGAGAGAAGTGAGTATCAGTGAGTAGAGATAACACACCTGGAAGCAAGCATATGCAATTGCAGTTGCAAAGTAAAAGTTTGCATTCCCAGTACCCTAACAATTTCATTACACAGGTGAGGAACTGAGGATAAGAAGATAATTAATCTATTTGAAAAAGCAGATCAACCCAAAACTATCCATACCCTCCATATCCATAAGTTGTGCATCACAGGGCTAAGAAGTGAAACACCAACATAACCAGAAAACAGGAAGAATGAAAACTTCATATCTGAAAATCAAGGAAGTTGATTATTCAAGAATAGATTATGCTCAACATAAAAGGTCATTAAGAAGGAGAAGTAACCTCTTAGTTCATAAGCAAATAATCCCAGTAAACCTAAGTATAGAGCTGAATCACCAACCTAGTTAAAATGGAAACAAATAGTACAGGGATAAATTAGATTGCAGCAGGATGCAAATTCACACAAAATGAACAACACATTGATGGACCTTTTTTATGTCTGATTTCTGAAAAGTTTTAGACAGATAGACAGAGTAGACTTGACAAATTTCAGCAATTTTCAATCTCCTTTCAGATTTGCAGGTCCCCTTGTTAGGTTTTCCCTTTCTAAATTTGTATATGTGCACGTGCAAAGTGTGTAGAAGTTCTTACTTGCGCATATTCTATTTGGGACAATGTAATCTTAGAATATCATGGATTGAATACTTAAAAGCATAATGGCATCTTTTCCTGAGCAATACCCAGTGAAACCTTCATGCTTGAATTCTAAGAGCTAATTTCAACCTAGGTAAAAATAGAAACTAATGGATTTACCAAAAAAAAAAAAGAAACTAATGGAAAAATAAACAACTTACTGAAGGATAAGACTTCAACATAGAAGAAATCACAATATATACAAAAGCTAGAAAGCATGGCCGGTGATTAAGGCGCAAGGCTAATGGCACTATCATTAACAGAATATTCCCATGGAATACTATCAGGAAAAAATTTCTGAAAAAGTCGAAAACTTCTGCAAAGAAGTACCTGTATTCAAATATCATGAGAAATAAACAACTGTCAAAGTTAATGGGAGGAATAAAACATTGAAGCCTACAATACAAGTGGTAATTTTCCTTCCTATAGAACATACCACAAAACTCCAATGTTTGGAGACAGGTCTTGTATGGTAAGAATGAAGCCATAGGTTCTGCATATACAAGCTGGAAGTTTAGTTACAAGATGTTGATAAACTAGCCATTCCCACTAAGCAAGAAATTTTACGACAGTTGACAGTTCTTGATAATGATATTAACAAGAGAATAAAAGAAAAAGAACAATATAAATTTCATAATCACATTCAGTGTCCTTCAACGGAGGTTACGGAGCATAATACAGTTAAGTCTACCTCCTTTGACACAAAGAAAAAACATTAATTGTCATCACACAAAATTCATCCAGAATCACAAGTTACTTCTTAATCGCTGATGTTGAAACTCCCTGCTGTTTCGCTGTTTCGGTATTAAATGATTTGACTTCCCAAACTACATATTATTTTTTACCTTGCTTGACAGTTGTTTTCAGCATTACATGAACAAATAACAGTAATGTGTAACTAAAGTTTTTCAAATTTTAGGAGCCGGCACGGCTGCAGGTGTTGCTATAAAACTTTTAGATGACTCCATATTATGCACAGCAGTGACAATAACCCAGTACTTCCGCAATTGCTTTGGAGTGATTTTAATGGTGTATAACTGTCTTCACAATTCACATGATACTCCACAGACTCTTCACTAATTCTTAAAAAAGCTCCCCAATAAGCAATGGTGTTTACTCACTACTAAGCACAATTCTGACAGCTACTATAATAATGAGCTTTCAAAATAACCCGAAAGAAGTCTCTAGACACAATACACAAACAAATATGCAGATATATTTTGGCAATTGCAAAATTGTCATCAGAAAGGAATAATGGTAATAGTATTTAAACAGAACCTTTTGAACAACTCCTGTAGACCACCATGCTGTTGAAAATAAATGCCACATAGGACTAAAACATAGGATGACCACAGGAAAGTCCATAACATGAAAAGCACAACTGGTCTCCATGAGAATACATTCAGCACCCGTAGCTGATTCTTCACTTCCTCTTCTAAACAACTCGTATCACTTGAGGAGGAATTGACAGCTTTAATATTTTTCCTTTGCCAGAATAATTTCCTAGGAGGTGCATCAGGACCATACCCCAATAACAATATCACCTGGAAAATGAGATAATAGATGTATCTACAGATAGATAAAATGATAAATTAAAGACTACAAAGATTTGCCGAATATGTTGCAAATGCTATATAAAGGGTTCAAGCAACAGCATACTGGGATAATAAGGATTGCAGGGTACAGAGACAAGTGCGTAGCCATGACCCACCCAAAAGCAGCCAGCGGAACTAGTCCTGTTGTGCATCATTACAATTTCAACATTATACAAGATGATGATAATAAGCCAGTTAATATAAGGTGATAATGATATGTTTAATTGATGCTGTTCTAATCTTTCATGAGTCCCCCATTATTTAATTTATAGATGAGTTTTTACTATCATTTCCAAAGTCTGATCTGGTTGCTGAATATAGCAATTAGCAACCTTTTCATTCAAGTGGATATCAACTAGATGAAGACTCTTATTCATTGGCAATGATTCCAAATGAAATAGTGTCCATGCATGCAAGGAAAAAAAATATGAAAAAAGAAAGTTAATCAGAAGGATTATGGATGCAAGGCTTGAGTATGTGAGGTAAAACAGTGGAATTCTTCTAGAACATAGTCAGCTAACTTAATGGAAAAAGGGATATAGCCATACAGGACATCAAATTTGATAGAATATACAAAAGAAACAGTAAAAAGAAAAAAAGTTTTGTTCTTTTATTTAGCCTTGGGTGGTCAGTCTATGATGGGATTGGGACCCAAATGGCCCTATACTGGCTAAGCCCAGACCCCCAACAAGTGTACTCTCGTAGGCCTAAAGCTGGTTAGAGGGTGAGGAATGTGTGAATTAGTTTTGGGGGTGTGATGTAAGGGAGTTAGAGGAGGGGGAAGGTGGATCTGGTGTAATAAGGGAGGGCTGATTTATGTGAAGGGATCTGTGAATGTCTATTTTCTAAGATTATAGCTTGGGCTTTGGGGTTTTCTTCCATAGCTGGAAAGCATTCTGCACGTCTCCTGTAGGTTCATATTTTATATCAATCAAACTGTCTCCCTTTTCAAGATAGGAATGGCTTCCTATCACTCTAGTACATTTCACTTGTACATGGCTCCACCCCCCTTCAGTACTCTTGTTTTATTGGTTTTAACACTCAACAAAAGAAAAAATCATATTTCTTTCTATCCAAAAGCAACCTAAGACCAAGAAACATTTTCAGGTAAGAAGAAAAAATAGAAATAAAAACCATTGGAAAAATTGTTAATCAAAATCTATTTGCATAAAAGCAATCCTTCAGCTATAAAGTGAGATTCCTACTGTTACTTCTCGCCACAAATTCCCCAAGGAGCAAAAAACTAACTGTTCTTTTCAGCACATAAGGACACTATGCAGTTTTATTTTTTTCAATATTAAGGAGCACTTAATTCTTAACCAGAAAACAACCAACAAGTACCAATGAAACTTAAAAGAAGGAGTGAATCAATAGCATCAATGAAATATCTAAAAATTCAAAAATTAAAAACCATAGGTTATTAGATGCTTACGTGTACATGCTCCATAAAGTGATAACACAACCATCAAGTTCTCAATTGCAGATGTGGATAGACCAACGCATGCAACTACCGTGAAGGGATTCCATAAGTATACAAGTGCAGCAAAATCTCCTGAAGGAAGAACCTCTGGAAATGGAAACAATAAGATGCTATAAAAAGGGACAAACAAGAAGTCATGAACTTGCATAAAAAGACCCACAGCCGACAAGGGAACTTGACATTAATTTATATGATCATAACCTAACCAGCAGAACAATATTGCAATATCATGTTTTCTTCTCAGAAATTCAATAAAATATATTTTTCTGGAAAGAGTGCAGGATATAACAACATAATTTTTTTTCATCACCCAAACACCACACTGCCATAACTCTCCACCATGCATTTGTTAACAGAAACACACAGACATGTAATTTTATCCACAAGTTTCAACACTAACGATAGAATTACAGACTAATCCTTTCAATTAATAAATATATTCAGAACCTGATATTTAACTAATTAATGATCAATGAGGTGTTTCATTCCCCCTCCTTTTCTTCAACTTTTAATACACTCTCCAAAAGAAAGGAAACAAAACAAACCCAAGTGTCAAAAGTAGCACTGCATCTTCCATTGCAAATTTTTAATACTATCTGGTAATCTGCATGCAAGTACCATGCTATGATTGTCTCAAAATTTAGTCAAGTATGTATAAAAAAAAATCCTTCTCTCTTTGATGGTACAATATATCTTTATCTGCAAAGGACCTTCATACTTATGCGCTTCTTCTATTTATCACTTTAAAATAATAAAAATGGAAGAAGCACACCCAGCCATAACATCTGAAATTTGAACAAAAGGATCACGCTTATAGCACATGCTAATAACCTGAATTCTCAGATAAGTCATGAAGGCCTAGGAATTGTAAACTTGAACTGTATGACACCTGAAGTTTTTCACCAGCAGCACAAATGAGCATTGCAGTGACCACATCTGCAATCACAAAAACCAAACTATATCCAGAAATGAGTTGAAAACTTGAAATTTACTGCTTAACTAGGAACGCAATATGCATCAGGAGAATAACAAGGACACAACTAAATATACAAGATGCATCAGGGAAAAAGAATAAGGATGAAGAACTGTGTCATTTGGATCATAAAAACAATGGAACTAGGTACAAATTACAAGTGCGAAGAAGCAGTTGTGAAAGCACAGTTTTCTCATCAACAAAGATAAATATAACTACTAAGCAACAAAGATCAAAGCAATTACGATTAATAAAATTAGGAAACAAACAATTCGTTGAATACTAGTAACAAGTAAAGTTACCTGCATAAAAGATGATCAGGCTGCCCTTCAATTCTGCAGTACAAAACAAGGTTTTCACTATCATAAAAACTTAGCGCCATTGGAATTAAGCAAAAAAAGAAAAGCCGATACAATTGATGGCATAGCACGTACCTTGTAACTGTGAGAGGGCCGAGAAGTGTTAATAACAAAGGAGAACCATGGTACATTGATCCTGGTAACATGAAAAACAGAATGAAATTTCTTAGGCTACACATAATAATAAAAACAGAAAAAGAGGTTGATTGAATGAATCAATTTAAACAAAAGTGAAGTTAGAAACCGGCATAGGGTGACATTGATGACTGCTTCAACCAGTAACCCTCGGCCACTGCGAAAACAGAACTTGAAATTGAGCACAAAGTATAAAGGACTTAAGAAAATAGAATATATATAGTTGAGTGGTGAGAAAGGAAGAGCATACGGCGACGGATGCTGGTGAGAGGGGTGGAGACTTCGGGGCGAGAAGAGAGGTTGAGGTTTTTGGGAAAGTAAATGAGAATCAGCCTCAAAATGACGGAACCAAAAATCCAAGTCCAGAACCATTGCACCTTCTTCTTCTTCATCATCTCCCTCAACCTTGATCCTTCTGCTGCCGCCACTCACAGCTTCTTCAGATCGTAACTTCCAATCTGCTTCGCTTCTCTTCGCTCTTGGGGTTTTTCGGAAGAAGAAGAGGTGAAGACTGCGTCGTATTGGTTGCTTTTTTTTAAAAAAGAAGATGAAAGAAAGTAATTAGCCTTTTTTACTCTTATAACCTTTAATTAATAATTAATTACCAATTTGACCTTCATTTGAAACTAATTCGAAAATTTAACCCCTTCAGAAAACATAACACCAATCTGTCCCTGTTTGACCGTTGACCATGAAGCCTACCCGGGTACACCCCTCCCTACCCTGGTATTTTTTGAAATTTTTTATCTACCCGGGTAGAGAGGGGTGTACCCGGTAGAGTTCTTGAATCTGGAAAAATGGTTGAATTAGTTACCCGGGTAAGAAGGGTTGTACCCGGGTAAACATCCAGAGTAACGTTTTTATATAAATGAAAAAAACTGTGAGAGGCATAGTTCATGGACGATAGCAACGAAGATCCAAGGCTTCCTCGTCATGGCAGCCCTAATGAATTTGTTTCCATCAACCAATTAGCAGATCATTACTCTATCTCTATCTATCTATCTATAGTTTTACTTAGTTGTGACGTTGCAGAAAAATGGTGAGTTTTGCAGAATTGGGACTCTTATACTGGAAGCGGAATCCAAATGATGTTGAGGAAGATTAGAGAAACTAGGGGATACAATTACATGGTAATGTTGTATTAATTTTAATTTTTTGCGTTTTCATTAACCTGATAGAAATATAAATCCGAGGAGAATATGAATTGGAAAAAGAAACTTTTTAGCATCTCGGTTATATAAAAACGCTACCCTGGATGTTTACCCGGGTACAACCCTTCTTACCCGGGTAACTAATTCAACCATTTTTCCAGATTCAAGAACTCTACCCGGGTACACCTCTCTCTACCCGGGTAGATAAAAAATTTCAAAAAATACCAGAGTAGGGAGGGGTGTACCCGGGTAGGCTTCATGGTCAACGGTCAAACAGGGGCAGATTGGTGTTATGTTTTCTGAAGGGGTTAAATTTTCGAATTAGTTTCAAATGAAGGTCAAATTAGTAATTAATTATTAATTAAAGGTTATAAGGGTAAAAAAGCCAAAGTATTTAAGTATGTTAGAGATATGCTAAAAAAATAACAATAAGTTTTAACATTCTCCATAAGTTATACCACTCTATTTTAATTGATTATTAACTTTTATTTCAGAAATATTTTAAATATATCTTTTTATTAATTATATTTTTAATAAACCACATTAATATATATTTTTCATATAAAACTTATTGTGTTTTAAGTTAACATTCTTTCGCTTATATTTTGAATTAATATCTATAGTGTATGAATATAATATATATTTATTCATAATCTTTAAATTGAGACGAAAAGACTAATCACTTCAATAAAAAATTTAATATCTCATGAACTAATAGTTTCAATACATATCTATATAGTAGAATGAAATGTCATTCTTTGACAAGTTTGTTGAAATCCTCCCAGTGCTATGGTAGTGGCTTAACCTTATTCGATGGCAGAAGTATTGATGCTCTTTTTTCTCCAAAACTAGATGTGCTTGATCTAGCCCTCCCTTGGAACTAAATCCCTAGCTTGGAAAGAAAAGAAGAAATCTATAACTGACTTACTTGCGGACTTAGCAATGGTCATTAAGAGCACTTGTACAAATATTGATATTAGGAATGCCACTACTTCTACTACAGCTTCAATAGGAATAGCAGAAAAATGGAATTAAGAAGCTCATACTTCCGGAAGAAAAGCTATACCCCTCCTAAGGGATATCTGATCACTCTCTCCTTCAATTTCAAGTTTGTGTTCACATTGCACACCATTTAAAATCTTTCCTCCTTAGTAAATTTTTAAATTCGAAATTTAAGCTTCATTAGGAGGGAAATGAGTTCAGCATTAATTGTTGGCAGACATCTGTATTAATATTTCATTTTTTTTTAATTTTGAATTTTAAACTTTAAATTTTTTAATCGATATAGGTGGGAATGGGAAAACAGTTGGACTTTTTGGGGTGGCAAACAGAACATTTAGGGTGTGCATGACAACCATTCTGTTCTCTGGCACTGTTTCTGAAAAGAAACAATTCTTTTATATTTCTGCGCCTTGGAACAGTTTCTGAGAAAAAATATGTGTTTGATGACATGTTCTATTTTTATTCTGAGAATGAGAATTGTGTTTGATAACACAACAAATAATATAATAAAAAATAATTCTTATTAAACATAATTTTTTTTTGAATCATCACTTTTCTTTCTATATAGTGGTGGTGGTGATAGCGTGGTGGTGGTGGTGGTGACGGCAGTGGCTACGACAGCAGTGGTGGTAATGGCGGCGATGATGGTGGTGGTGATGGTGGCGACATAGTGGTGGTGGCAATGCCGGTGGTAGTGGTGGCGATGATCGTAGTGGTGATAGCAGTGCCGCGAGTGGCGGTGGTGGTGGTGATGGCGGTGTGGTAGAAATGATGGTGGCGTGGTGATGGTAGTGGTGGTGATGACATCATGGTGTTGGTGGTGACAACAATGGTTGCGGCGGCGGCGGTGGTAATGGTGGCAGTGGCGGTGCTAGTGATGGCGATGGTGGTGGTAGTGACAGCAGTGGCTGTGACGATGGTGGTGGTGATGGTGGCGTGTGACATGATGGTGGTGGTGATGTCAGTGGTTGCGGCAGTGGTTACGACAGTGGTGGTGATGATGACTGCAATGGTTGTGACGATGATGGTTAGTGGTGGCGGTGGCGATGACGTGGTGGTGGTGGTGGTGGCTACAGCGATGGTAGTGGTGGTAGTGATGATGATGATGGTGGCGGTGGCGGTGGCGGTGACAGTGGCATGGTGGTAGTGATGGGTGGAGGTAGCGGTGATGGTGGTGATAACGGCAATGGTGGTATGACGACGACAACGACGATGGTGGCGGTACTCGTGTCGTGATGATGGTGGTGGTGGTGGTGATGATGGTGGTGGTGGTGGTGGTGATGATGGTGGTGGTGGAGAGTGATTGAGAGAGACAAGTGTTTCTCATTTTTTGCCCGACGGCACAAAAATTAAATCGGTTCATCCCGGGAACAAAAAAATAAACCGGTTTTACCAAACGAGTTTTCTATCCATTTCTGTTCCCGAGAAAAAAATTAAAAAAAAATGATTCTGGAAAGGTTGTCATGCACACCCTTAATATCACATTACTTTCTACATTGAAATTGGAAAACAGTTAATTGTGTTATTGGATTTGGAAAGTGTATTATTATATTAAAAAAAAAACCTCGACGAAAAACCTTTTGACTGCGTGTATAAAAAGGATCATCAAAGGCACACATGTGGTCCGTATTTTTTTTGTTGCTTCTGCAAATTGGTTCTTTCTGCATATTTTCTTCGTTTTCTCATTCGATATGTTCTCAAAATATGATTTTATAAAAGATCTTAATCCTACCAAGGAGGAGTAGAGGATTAAGGTTAGGGTGGTTAGGATTTAGAAGGTTCCTAATTTTCATCGTAAAGATTTTGATGACAATGTTGAGATGGTTCTATTAGATGAACAAGTAATATTTTTTGTTTTTTGTTTACTTTTCGCGTCTCTTAATCTTAATGTATGAACACGTTTTTTTTTTAGGGTGGAAGGATCCATGCTACTGTTAAGGGTTCTTTACAGGTTCAAAAAAAAAATATGTGGAGGAGAAGTCTATTGCATAAAAAAATTTGGAGTTGGATTAAATAGAATTTCAGGCCAACCAGACATGATTATCGTCTATCTTTCAACTTGATGATGGATGTTAAATCGATTGTTGATGCTAATCTATCTACCAATGGATTTGATTTTGTTAATTTTGACATCATTGAGAAAGAATCAGTTTATTGTCCTTATTTAGTAGGTAATATGTTTTGTCTTAGATTTTAGTCGGTGATTGATTTTTTTTAATTGCTGTAAATAATAAGTCCAACTTCTTTGTTCTGTAGACGTCATTGGTTTACTGTCAGGAATTGGGGAAGTTTGTGAGCATATTGTTTCCGGTAGGAAAACTAAAATGATTGTGTTGAAGCTTGACGACCTCAAGTATGTAAAATATTAAAATTAAATTATGACTCTCGATTAAATAATATATTTAATCTATAACATGATTCTTACAAAGTCTTCAAATATAGGGGTCACAAGCTTGAATGCACTTTATGGGAGTATTATGTAGATAAGTGCAAACTTTCTTGAAAAATAATTAGTCTCCTTAGAACGTGATAATAGTTCAACTTGCAAGGATAAAAGGATTCAGGGGTACTTTTTCTGCATAAGTCATTTAATGTTTCGTTTAGGGACTATGTTATGCACGGATTTGTTGCTGTCTCTCTCTGTGTTATGTTTTCGTTGTTGTATAGATAAGATAGGAATAACGAATACAAAATATATGACAATCCATAGATTGTGGAGTTCAAAAAAAGATTTGGTGTATATTTTAAAATGCATTTATTTAACCTTCTTTTGTATATGCATTATTTGTATTTTATATGTTTGCGTTTTAGTTTTGCGTCTGATGCTACAGAAAATAATATGATGTTGACTCAGTTGTCTAGTCAATCTTCATGTTCTTTTGAAAATAGTTTTCTTAAAGAGACCGAAAAAAAATCTATCGGTGATATCAAGAATTGCAGTGAGGTATATATTAACATTGACACAAGTCTATAATAGTCAAAATTTACTCTTTTAATTCTCATAATATGACACTCCCCCTTAATGTATATCATAACTCAAAATCAAGACATGTTATTCTGTAATGCAATCGCTACAGTTTATGACTAGAGCCATAAACCACAGTTGCTCTTACACGTAACTCTCACTAAAGGCATGGCTTCAAAAATACCATGTCTCAATATCCAACTATGAAATAGATGGATTTCCCTCTTTTATAGATAAGATTAGTTCTTTCACAAATGCTTCCCTGTAATAAATTATTAATGAAACTCATTTCTACATTAATGAAAATCAAAGCAAAGTAATTAAAAATTGAAAAAAAAAAACTACTCGTTT